TCATTCTGAACCTCACACAAGCTTCAGCTGTACTTATCCAGTTGGTCCTAGAAAGCAGAATTTGCAATGTGATGAATCTTAAAATCTAAAAATTTTTCAGTTTTGTTGCATAAAAGTGGAAGTAGTTCAGTTCTTTCCTTACTGAAAATTATAAAATCAGTCCTTTGGTCAAGGCTTGGTATTTTATTCCACCCCCAATCCTGATGAATCACTTTTTGTTTGGTTGGAGGTGGGGGAGATAGGGGTAGTCCTAACTAACATGATTCTACTTTAAAACATAGGATATTAGTGGAGTTCTTTAGACTTTGATTTCATAAAAATATCAACAGAAACGCACACTATGGGCCAGCATGATCTTAAAGTCAGGAAAAAATACCAGCATCCAGAGACACTCACAGGCAGAGACTTCATGACTCATCTCCCTTCTAGTCTTTCTTCCAGGCACTCAACTTCACTTTGCACACACATTTCCCACCAATGTGTTCTCATCAAGCTGTTTCCCTAAGCCCCAAGTCTCTTAGTTCTTGCGCATACTCATAAAATTCTATTTCCTCAGAGTCCTGCTATATTTAGAACAGTGTTCATATATGTTGAATATCACTAATCGTTTTCAGCCTCTCAGATAATATAAGACTTCTATTCTGAAATAAATTATAGTAAAGTAGAAGAAAGAAGATATAGATAGATATAGATGATATAGATAGAGATAGGTAGATATAGATAGATATATAACACATGAATAAAAGAATTATAGATGTCATGTTGTTTTAGAAGTTAAAATAAAACTTATTTGAAGGGCTTCATTCTGCTAGGACTCAGGATGAAAGTGGGAGTTTGACACAACTGTATGTACAATTGCATGGAGAACATAATTTATTTAAAGTTATTCTGTAAATAGTGAGAGTTTTAAGCTCTATAGTAGGTTACCAGGGTGAGGATGAAATCACACATTTTGAGTGTCTCTACTTCCGAACCACATGTGATAGGTGCACACAGGGAGGATTACTGGGAAAGCATGGTTCAAGAGCACAGAGGCCTGAGCAGATAGGGAGAATGGAAGAGGAGGACTGGTGTTTGTCGTGAAGGACATACTGCCTCTGCATAGGAACAGGAATAACCGTGAGACCTGACGGTTTTTAAAAGTTCCTAACATCGGAAAACTAGGCTACCTGCTTTTTAAAAAATGAAAAATATAACTGAATGCTGTACTGGGAAGAAAACAAGAAAGATTGAAAATGAAATAGCCATCCGGATAGCATGAGTAAACAGGGGGAAGCATGAGGCTAAAAGAAACCATATCTAGGAAAAATGTCATTGCCTGGGTAGAATGAAATCCTGACTGGTAATAGTAAGTACAAAATTTCAGATAATTCTAAAGTTTTCTAATTTTACCTGACTTTTTAAAATTCAATGTCAATCAGTGGCAGAAAGAAAGGTCACCTTAAGAAAACAACTGGCTTCTGAAAGAAGCACTTAGAGACGTTGACTAATTTAAGATGAAGTAGAAATATGTGTAGCTTAATAATTTTACCAGAGTACTTAAAAGCTACTGGCTAGTTTAAGTTGTTGCGAAGGACATAAATTCTTAAATATTGAGGAAGAGTTACTGGATTATCTGTCTATTAATCAAAGGGGAAAGGAAGCCTGTGTAATTAAGGAGCTGTCACCTGAACTTTAATGCCCAGAAAGGTGAGCACAAATCATCAAACAATCAATTTGCAATCACAGAGAAGGAAGAACAGAGTAGGGACTGACATGCCTTTCAGAGAACAATCTTGTTTCATGATGAAGAGACAGGAGGGGTAGATAAGAGGGCCCTTGTACAGACTACATGGATTTCAGTAACTCATTTTCCGCTTAAATCAAAAATGACTGAACTGTTGACCTCAGTGTAAAAGTACAGCACATGGTACAAATGAACACAGTCTTTTAAATCATTGAATTAAAGCACTGAATAAGATTTTGTTTCAGAAATTAAACTCTTCTTGCACACTAGAGGTGTCTGAGACATTTTTATCTGTAAGTATAAAGGAATTCTACATCTTTTAATGAGTATATAAGTAATGTCACTCAATTTTATAGGATTTTAATGATATTGAAACAGTCTCTATGAATTTCCTACTCTTTGAGGCAGCACATCTGTGCACATAAATAACCTTATCAATCACTTCCTAAAAATGTCTGCAGGAAAAGAAATCTTGCCAAAATAATCACTGCATTCTTATTATGAATATAAATGCAATCTTGGCAACCAATTTAGTCTATTTCATGGGTTTGGCAAAATTTCACCAGGACGAACCTGATGAGCATGATAACCCACCATAAAAAGGAATGTGGTCTTTAGCTCTAAAAATGATATTCATACACTTGGTACCCATTTTCTCAGAATTAAATGGCATTATTCACCTTAACTAAGTGCAAGTCGCTAACACAAGTAGCTTACATGGTGATCACTTGCAGCTTCTCATCACTCATCGCTGTGATACCTAATTTCTTCCATCAGAGAAACTCATGATCTAATGACTTAATATGAAAAAAATATTTCCTGGACTTAACTTTATATAGAAATGATTTTAGATGAAGTCAGCTGTTCAGTATTGAGGAATATCCACTGATGGTTTAACAACAAATATCCCAAAATAACTAAAAAGTTTGATTAGAAATTAATGCAACTGGTAATACTTTCTATAAAGCTAGTCATTATAGCAGTTTTTATAAAGCTAGTTTTTACAAAGAGAATTATTTAAAAAGAAAACAGTAATGACTTGCATACAGGTCCACATAATTCTAGAATTGTAGTACCCACTTTCTTTAAAAATAGGTATATTTTCAGTAAGCATGCACAAATTATGTAAAGCCCTCCTTCCAGCACTTTTCCCTAAAGTTAGGCATATTAATAATTTCTTTGTAACTTTCCAGAAATATTCTATATGGAAAGAACTTTAGTACTTATTTTATTTATTCAGATATATAGGTTAAGAATGCACTATTCTGGTTCTAGCTATTTTTAACAATTCTTTGAATTCTTTCTACAAGAGCAGATACAAATATGATTTTTATTGTGATATAATATTGCATACTGAATACAGTATCATCAATCAAACTTCATAAATACTTAGATTATGACATTGATTTACAATGGAAAAAAGATCACATTCTAAGTTCACATCAAGAATTGAATGAGTCATAATGGAATTAAAATTTAAATTAAAGTTTTAAAAAGTCAATGTACATATGAGACATTTTAAAGATCAAACAGAAAAGAGATACAGCCCAGTTGGCTTCATGCTATTAACAAAGAAGGACTGGAACAATGAGATGAAAGAGTGATTATGACACACTTAGCTCCCTGCTACAAAATAATCAGGGCTAAGCCATTTTCATTTTGGAAGAGGCCTAGTGGTGGTAGGGAGCTACAGTGTATGAGCTTATCTGCCGGCCTTGTAAACCAGAGATCAGGAACAGGTTGGGCAGCCACGAGATAGGAATGAAAGAGGTAAATATACTGAAGGAAGGCAAAAATGTCCAATAATGTTATGAGACCAGAAGTTATATAAAAACAGACACAGGCATAGTGGAACTTCACAGAAGGCTAGAATCTCCGTGCCCTTAGAAGCGACTCATCTACAGGAGGCCTGGTTGTACCCATGACACGGAAGCAGAGGAGAATACTAAGAATTGTTCAGTTTGCCTCTTAAAAATGGAGACAGTCTCCATGCTAAAGATGTGCTTTCTTTATTCATAAGGCATGGATGAGTTCTTAAAATACTTATGTACTGTGCAGAAGAAAATACATTGAGTTTAAAGTGTTATTCCTCTAAAAATATTCCCAAATTACTTCTCCAGTAGTATTTCCTACTACACAGTCATACCAACTAGCTAGTCAAGCAAAGAATGGGACAAATAAAAACCAAGACTCTTACAACTATAGATTTAGAAGATATAACATAAGGTAATGTATTAAATATGCTTACGTTGTATGCTAAATTTTTCATTAATCACCATGAGATTCTCAGTAATCCTTGTAGAAAAAAATCACTGATACCCAAAAATTCAATTTGTTTAAACAAAGCTCAAAGAAAAATTTTAAGTCAAGATAACAATTACTAGATCTTTGGAAACTGACACAACTACCTTAAGACATCTAATCGCCCCATAATCTATGAGTGTTTTCAGTTAAAGCAAGAGAAATATTCATAAAATTCTTATATTCCATAGTCCAAGGAATGCAATGAAAAAAAAAGTACTAGCCATTTGGCCAAATATTTTCTTTGAATTTAATTACAGTCCTTGTCTTCAATAATCTTTTACTGTGAGCTTTAACAATAATCTTTGCGATGTTCTTTTATAATAACTATAAAATAATTTTTATAATTTAGTTATCATGAATGTGATCATACAAAATATTGAAACAGCTTTTTATCCAAAAATTTATGTGAAAAGTATTACAGTACATATTTATCAGAGTAAATTAAATTTTCTAACATTTTAAAGGAACTCATCATTTTTGATAACTACACCATCTGTCTTTATGTGGAGTAGTGTTTGTAAGTAAGAAAACATAATGCCCTCTTTTACCTTTTAACAAACTGTTCATAATATGGGTAGCGTTTAACAGATTCAGATTCAAAGTTTATTTTGCAACGAGTTCAAACTCAAAAATTTAAGTAATAAAAAGTGTATTTCATGCTTTAAAAATTCAAATCCAAACCGAAAGCCTCATTATCCTACCTCCTATAATAATCACCAGTAATGGCACGTCAAGGAACGAACAGCCAGTCACTTTTATTGACTACAGAGGGTGAATTTATGACTTTTTCAAGCTCAAGAGATTACTTGAGAATACAATCAGTTTTAAGAAGGAAGAAAGAGAGAAAGGGAAAGAGAGCGGGGAGGGAGGGAACGGGAAGGCAGGGGAAGTCATCAATTCAAGAGTCAGTGAAAGAAAGAAAGGATGAAAAGTCGTGACTGGGCTTTCACAGATTAGGACGATGGAATACCTTTGTACCAGGTCCTCGCCGTTCCAGCAGGGCAGCCCGGAGGCAGCAGCCAGTTCCGTAACGCAAAGCTGATCGGCCAGGCCGCCATAGAACGACCTGTATGGTCTGAGGCTGTTGATAAAATCTCTGCATGGAAGAACAAAGGAACCAATTAAAACCCGAAATCCATAATAAAGCTCCACAGGAGTGGTATATGCGGTGCCTAATGCTTAAAATGAAACATTTTGCTTTCTATACTTTTTTCGTATATTTTAGTAAACTTTTCTAACAATAAAAATACATTATCATTTGAAAAATACTAATGTTCAAAGGTATTACCTTGACTAAAAGTTTTCCCTGGGTATGAATCTTATGTAATTCCAAGGGCAAGAGGTTGCGAACAGTACAAACCCGCGCCGACCCACCCCGCATCACTTCATTTAGCCTGGCTAACACCCTCACTGGTCGCTGGCGTTTAAATCTCATACTAATTACTGTCTTTTCCACAGAGAAAATGTCAGAGGTTTACAACATGTTAATTACACGATGACTGTTTAGTAGACTTGGGTTATTTTCCTATCTGCTCTCTCTTTGGTATCTAAAAACATAGAGTATTATTCTTTTTAGTAACCATGACTCCAAACCCAGATATATAGATATTTCTGAGGATGAAAATAAAAGTAATTGAGGGGAAGATTGTTTATAATATCAAGTCAAGCATTCCTCTTCCCACACTGTTCTCCTTCCTATTAATTATGGGAGACAAAATTCAATAAAAATGTGGATTTTGGTACTTTTTATGTAGAGGGCCAAGGCTTTTGAGCTCTAAAATCAAGGTTTTGAAGTACAAATAACTTATGTTTTAGCATTTCAAAATATTAGGCCATAAACACATTGGTTCTAAATTTTTTTTTTTTTACATCAATAAAGGTTCAAGAGAAAGAAACGACAAGCCCAGCCTGATACACAGGAGATTCCCTCTAGAGTAGAAGAGAAAAACAGGAGTTGGAAACGTTGGAAGGAAAACAAATTTGAGAAATTAATGGGAAGAGTAGTAGAAATGTAGCAATTATGAAATCATACTCTGTACTGAAGTAAAAAGTGCATAATTTCTCTAAAAATGAGATCAAAGAAGGGTGCCATGAAATTATAGCTGTAGTTTCCAAACTTTTAAAAATTGAATCTGATTTTGACAGCTCTACTGATCAACTGCATAATCTTATGACTCTTTTACTGGTTTTAAAGAACTATTTGCAGAAATTGTCAGAGTTGATCTATAGCACGGATAATGATTTTCAAAAGTTTAATATGAAAAATTATACTATCACAAGTTTAAAAGGTATCATGGCAACTATTTGAGTTTTGCAAAACTTTACCAGACAAGTGAGCACTAAATGACTTCAAGAAACATAAATGTGACTCACCTCTAACTTGTATCAGTTACAAAAAGAGTCTACTTTCTTGTTATCACAATATTATATTTGACATGTACTACTTTAAGGCAGTTTTCTCTACTATAAAATAAGTCCTTCCTTGAAGGCTACCACCCTACAAACTACATGAACTAATACCAGTTTTTATTTTGTAACTACTAAGGCATAATTAAAGAAGAAATTTGCACTTTTCTAGAAAGTTAGTTTCAATAAATGAATGTGTACTTCCTCTCTTAAATTTTATTCACTGTAAATTATCCTTTCTTTGAAGTCAAAAATTTTCTAGAAATGAAGAGGATTTGTACAAAGGATAGAATGTGGACAACTCCATATTAATGGTATGAAACAGAATAGATATTTTTATGTATCCAATCAGTCTACTCCAATCTTTGTGATTGCTCCTTATTTCATTTCTTCCTTCATAACCAATAGATCCTCATGAGGAAAGCGTTATAGATTTTCTTTCGCAGTCCCTCTTCCCAGTGCTATACTCCCATGGCCTTAGTCCAAACCTGTATCATCTTTCTCTGAATTTACTGCATTAGGGTCAACAGACCTTCAATCTCTTTCTTTAATAGCTATCTCCTATTCTCAGTGAGAACCCTCTTCTAAAATGCAAATCTGATACTGCACAAAGTATGTCACTTACTCACTTAAATCCACCAATGGCCACTGTCGAAGGCATGAAATCCAAGTTTCTTGGAAAAACATAAAGCACCTTCTGACCTCAGTTTTAGCAGTAATTGAAACCATACTGTCGGGTAAAGTTAGATATTTTCTGTTCCCAAAGCAGACCTTCGTACTTTTGCCCATGTTTGAAAGGGTTATAACACAGAAGACTTCCTCTTGTTCTATGATAATCAGCTGCTCTTTCTACGTCACACAGTACTAAATGCTGTTGAGCATCTAGCTCTGTGTTGGCACGAGATGTAGGAGTACATAGGACACCCCCTGCTTGCTAAGAACACACATGCTGATGAAAACCTACAATAATTACACAACATTTAATGTGCCAACATTTGAAGATCGCAAAGGAGCCAGGAAATATTTGCAAATAAATGAACACTTTAGTATTCTACACGAAACAAAACACAGAATGGGAAAAAGTTGAAGGAAGCTATGTAGTTTAGAGGAGTTCCTGTGGGAATGAATCAAGGTTAAAAGGAGGCAGAAGCAAAGTTCTACTCAGCCTTATTGATGACTGTAAAACTTCAGCTTTATTGAGAAGGCAGTTGGAGCCTTTCAAAGTTTTCCAGCAAGCAAGTGATACTGTCTTTAGGGCAGCAATGTGGAAACATAAAAACTGAGGTTCCCCGGAGGTGACAACTAAAATTTAGAAAAGAAAAACTGCTAAGCTAGATTTAAAAAAAAAAAAAAAACTGCCAGGAAACATCATCAATAGCGACATACTTTTTAACAATTAGAAATCCAGACTATACAAGGAAAATAAGAGCTTTAAGGTAATTTACTATGCTGTCTGGCAAGTGCAAGGTCATGAGTTAGATTCCCGGTGCCAGAAAAAAAAAAGATAATTTACTATGTATTGAATTGTTCCTTGTGGTGACTGAGAAGATGACTATGTCACTTATTAAGATTTTTTAAAAAGTAAGGGAAATATCCCTTCTTGATTTCCCACACTACACTTACTTTTGTCTTTGTCCCGTTGATTCTTCCATCTTTCTATGACACACATCACTTTCTTGCCTACCATGTAGTAGTTATGTACTGATTTTACCTAGTTGTTTCTTATCTGGCTCCTCATTCTACAATAAAAAGTTTAAGCGACAGGATGTTTTTGTTTTGCTTTGTTAACATTCACTGCTACAGACACTAGAGTAGTGGTGGTAGCGTATAGTAGGGCCAATACAGTTATCAAATTAATAAGTGAATAAAAAGTAAGGAATTAATCGTCCCATTCTCCATATGTTCTGTTTGAGATTTCTTTGGAAGACAAATCAAGGAGAATGCTACTGCTGAAACTTAATATGGATAAACATCATCTGGGAATCTTGCCAATATGCAGATTCAGATTTAATAATCCTAAGGTAGTAACCAAGATTTTCTATCAGATGCTACTGATGCTACTGGTGCAGTAATCATGAATATTATAAAGTTTGCTCTTAAATCTGAGATATAGGAACTTAAGTAGACTGAATATATAATGCAGGACTCATCATTTGTAGAGGTGATGACTGAAGCTATGTATATGGATGAAATCTCTCAGACTACAATATGTGTCAAAAATAAGTCAAAGGCATTCAAAAGAACAAGGAGTGAAGAAAGAAAAACTTCAAAGCTACTGAAGTATGAAAACTAAAGACTGAGGTAATGTGAAATTAGAGAGATTCTCTACAATATAAAGTCCCATCATAAGCGGTTGATTAACTACTACTAAACACATCCTTGCTATGTGATGATAAATTGTTATGGAATGAAGTATGTCCCTCTAAAATTCATATGTTAAAATTTCAACTCCTAAACATGACCTTGCTTGGCAATGGGACCTTTAAAGAGCTAATCAAGGTAAAGGAGGTCATATAAGTAAGTCATAATCCAAGATAACTGCTATTCTTGAAGAAGAGGTACAAGAAAGCCTGCGCATATAGCAATGGCCATGTACGAACAGGGAAAGAAGATGGCTACATGCAAGGAGAGGCCTCTGAAAAACCACACGTGCTGACATCTTGATTTTGAAATTCTGTCCAGAACTGTGAGAAAATTCACTTCTGTTGCTCAAGCCTCCTGGTAGGTGGTATTTTGAAATGGCTATACAAATGCAATAATTAAAACTGAAAGTAACGTAGAGTAATGGAGTTCAGGTCTGCAGAAGAACAAGCCTTAAAGAGGTTGATAAGGTAGATATAGGAATCCCCACAAGGAAATGTGTAAGTTTTGTTTGTGCACATATTTATTTGAACACGGCAGAAACTTGAAAATATTTGTGTATACAGGGGAGGCCATTAACCAGGGCATTAACTATTCACAATTTTCTACTTTCTGGACACATAACCCCTGTGAAGTTAGCTTTGGAAATGCAACTGGCTTTGGGCTTGTGGGCTCTATTCAGAAGTGATGTACATTTTCCAGGGTAAGCTTTCAGTACTGCTGTGACTAGAAAGGCTTCACATGGAAATGGCCCTGTCAGTCTGAGTCTTAAAGCATAGGCGTAATCCCCACTGCTCTGTCACGGACACCGGCTGTGAACAGAAACACAATTTTATTGTTCGCAGCCAAGTGGTACGTTGGGGTAGTTTGCGCATGCTCTCTTCATGGCCACAGTGATAGGAAAATAAATAATAGGAAAAAGCAATAATTGATGGATCACAATTCTGCAGAAAAGCAAAAAGGATTACTGAAAACAGATCTGGTTACAGTTCCTCTGGGATTGAAACAAACAAACAAAAAAATTCCATGGAACTAGTATGTCAAATTTGACTTGTGAAGATAGAAATTTGAAGAAGGAAATTATATCCTGTGGTTGCACTGAAGGACCCAGGGCTAAACGTCAGATAAATAACAAATAATTGAATTGTGAGAAATACAGTAAAGCGCTAGTACCATAGTAAGGTCAAAAAGACTTGGGCTGGGGATTTAGCTCAGTGGCACTGGGCCAGCCTGGCAGGCGCAAGGTCGTGAGTTCAATTCCTGGTACCTGAAAAAAAAACAAAACCAACAAACAAACAAACAAAAAAGGTCAGAAAGACTTAGCTACTG